CGTGCTTAAATAATTGAATTAGTCCCGTTTTAATTAGAAATTTACGATTATAAATGGAAGATCATTCCCGCAAGATGTTTGGGGAAGGTTCGGAAGCCCTATGGGGACGCACACTGCTAAAAATGAGGTGCAGAAGCTGTGTGGGGGAGAACCCTTAAACCGGATCGACTGTATAACTAGTATGACATTCATATACAATCTAAACTTCTTGTTCTTCTAAGACGACATTTTTATTAGGGTTCATCATCAGGTGCGAATTTAGGGTAGATTATACATACTAACCTTTCTCCTTATACATATCATTTAACATTGAACTTATATATTAAACAGGGAGTCCCACAAAGCATGGCAGTAGAGAGACAGGCAACTCTAAGGTCGTCTTTGATCTTTGAAATAGTGTGCGACATTAATTCGTCAACCTTACCTCTGGAAAAGCCAGAAATAGGAAATTTTTGTAATTATTGAATCAGTCCTGCACATTATTTAGAAGATCAAAGACGCATAAGTCTCCATTTGACTGTCGTGTGACACCGTAGTTAATTTGGACAAGAAAATCTCCCCGTCCAGTTGCTTTATTAGGAAGATTAAAAATTTCATTCAGAACGTCCATCGACTATTTTTTTTCTATGAAAGCTAAAGCTTTAACTTCTGATCTAAAATTTTGACCTTAGGCCGAATATAAAGAATTTAAACCGTGTCGCTGAACCGACAAAACCCGGTTTAAATTAAGCGCCGGCGCGCACGCCCCCCTGTTTGGAATTTGATGAATTGAGAAAGAGAAATAAAATTACTCACAGCCACATGTGTAAGAAGTATTATTTTTCCTTGTCTCTGCTGCATAAATCTGCTAGTGGCTTTAATATAGAACTACAGTTGAAAATTCTTGTATAGAAAAACTGAATATCTCCATAGAATTTTCTCAAACAAAATAAAGGGTCACTTGAAATCACGCCGCCCTTAAACAGATGATCCGAATAGGACATTTTTTCATTTTTTTTTCGAAACAAAGAACGAGGTTTAATTCATACATACTGGCAAGTTGCACCTTCATTTAACAAATTCTTAACATTAATATCTGTCCTGCTTCATTTTGAAAATCTTAGACTAGATTTATTAAAAACATATTATTTTACGTACTTTATCATGAAAATATAAAATTAATTTGTTTCCACTCCTCATATTATCGTTCAATGATATATATTTAATTAATGAAAAAGATTGACTTTAATTCTTTGTATCATTTCACAAATTTAAGGTAAACTTTTTATTTTTTAAGACTAAAAAATCAAATGTTTTCTATGCATGCCCCCTCCGACCCCCTGCCTCGTAGCCATGTCGGAACTTGGTTAAGATAAACTTCATCATCTTGTTGAAATTGAAATTAAAATCTGAATCTTTTAACGATTTTCTTATTTGTAAAGAGCCAAAAGTTATATATTTAGAAAATTTGATAAAGCATGGTATCAGAAGGAATACTACTGGCTGTCAAAAAAAGAAAGTAAAGCATACACATCAACAATCTTTCCCTGATAGCCAGAGCGGAAGTAGAGTGAAAACTGAAAATGCCTGTTTAAAAATACACTGTGCCCACTAGTTAGCTTGTTAGTTGTTTTTATTATTTTCTATGTTATATTACACGAAAAACGATGACCCGCAGTATTTCTAAAAATGTCGTCATTATTATAGCTTGATATGTTCATCCTTAACTCCATAATTTTTGTTAAAAATGTCTTCATTAATATAGACTATATGCGAACAATGTCATGTTACACGAAAAGCGGCGACCCACCGTATTTCTAAAAATTATAACTCCTGAAATTTTTCAAATATGTCTTATATTTATTGATTAAAAGGGACACAAAGCGACAACCCACAGTATTTCTAAAACTGTCGTCATTATTATAACTCGTGAAAATATGTCTTATATTTATAGATCAAAAAGGACGCAAACTATTCTAAAACTGTAAGTCTAATTAAAGGCCGTAGTGGAGGGGGCCGGTACCCCTGTGCCCCCCTAGAAATGCACCCCCCTAGAGCCAGAGGCAGGCTCTAATTTATTAAACACTAAACTTACATATATATTTTCAAATTTTTACTTTTCTTATCAATCGACAATGTCACATTTTGTCCATTTTATGATATTTCTCAAAATTCTTTCTTGTACCTTAATCTTATTTACAATATTTTTTTCGCGGGGTTTCATTTAAAATGATTGGTACTTATGGTCAGATGGCTTATAGTCAGCCTTTAGGTGTAGATTAATATAGATTTTAAACTTTATTTCCTCTTAAAACAGGTTTTTTAGGGGGGTGCACATCAAACCTTTAGGGGGTGCAAAAAAAATATTCGACACCCCCCAGGCTAAACCTTAACTACGCGCCTATCTAATTACCATGTAACCGTGTACAAATTAGTACACGAAAATCCATAAACATATATTCCATTCCAATCTACAATACATATTTTGTAAAACCAGACGGAAAATAAAAATATTTAGTTTTAAGTTTTTATTATTTTAATAACATCATTCAAATTTTAAAAATGTCTTATGCATGGCTCTTTTGGCAATTTTAAGGATGACACGCTTAAGAAAATTTTGTTCTTCTTTAATAGTTTTCATTTAGGAAAACACATTTGATTTTTGAGAAAATTAAATTTATTTGTTTAAAATCAATATCAATTTGGAACTAAATAAATGAATTTGATTATTTACTAATCTTATTTCTTCAGAAACAAGAAAGATCTCAAATTTCAAAAATTATTCAATATTCTTTTATTGAAACATTTTAAAAATATAATTTTATTTTTTTTCTTTCTAAACCAAACTAAGAAAATTCCCGTGGTACGGAGTTACCTCATCAAGTTTTGAGTTAAATTGGTCCAAGGGTTCATGAGTTATGATCGGACATCAGACAAACAGAAATTTCCAATTTATGTACAAATAAGAGAGATACAT